TTGGACTACCTTTTGGAATTTTCTGAACTTTCTTTCTTCATAATAATCTATCCTGATCTGTTGTGTGCTTTAATTTCTTGAGCAGTTAAACATTTTAATAGCTACTCTCTTTGATTGCAGGAATAAAGGAATATCAGAGACACTTACTGGAAAAAAATGTATTTGTTAGTCTGTATTTAGTAACTTTTCTAGAGTACATCTGTTGACAGTCTGATTTAATCTATTCTGTCTAAAGATGGTTGTCTTAAGTGTTGTATCTTGAGTTGAGCCATGAAACTACTTTTTTTTTCCTTCTGGAATAGTTTTTGTGACACTCAGTGGAAATGACTGCATGCTTACACTGCATTTTTAACTTACTAATTGCATTTTCAATTCTGTAATTGTATTTGCTCTTTGTATACAATACAATAATAAATACATAAATGACTTTGAAATAAATTGTATAACTAATTAATTTTATGCATTTGAATTGAATAGGGTAAGTCAGACTTTAAATATCTCAACAGAACAAAAAATCTGTTGGAAGCTGCGGATGGTTCCACTAGACTGACTGTAGCTTCGTTATTAAGTATTTATTTCAAAAGAATTTTAGCCCAAAATGAAATTTGAAAATTTAAAACTCCATCTTAAGAAATGGAAACGAATTGTTGCAGTTATGGGTTTGACAATTAAGTGCTAACAACCTGAGCACTCCAATTAGTTCCTTGACTGTTGATTAGGATTCCATGGTGATTAGTGAATGTGAGAATGCAATCACTTCCGTAGGGTTTAATCAGTCCCGTGCTGGATGAGGAAGTCCAAAGATGGAGAAAGTAGAACTTCTGTATATGATCTTATGCTATAAGAAGCTGAAGGGTAAAAGGTAGAGAAGCCTATCTCTTCACCCCTCTCCAAACTTCTAGGATTTTTAAATTATAGTGCTGATTTTTTAGAACCTTAATGGAGGAGAATAATGTTGCTGATACCTCTGAAGGGCAGTCAAGATGAATTGTGATACTCTCATATGTAGTATTTTAAGTATTTATCTTGGACATTTACATTATTATATTATTATTATATATTGCTATATATAATATATTTATAATATTATTATATTGTTACATTATTTTGGTGTGCTTTATTTTCTTTTGTTATATATTCTGATTATATGCTGTCTTTTTAACATTTAAAGCATGTATCTAAAAAAAAAATTATGAATATGATTATTATTCCTTCTGCCTTCCTGTGAATCAGATAAGTGAATGTTTATGTGTGCAGAAACAAAGAACTGTGGTGGGTACCCTTGTTGGCAAAGGAAACCCCAAAAGGAAAACTTGGATCTTTACTCAGCACATAACTTCTTTGTGACCTTTCTGACTGAGTAAGGGTGACCATGTGTGCACCTCCCTTTAGAACTATCTCCAGGGGTACATTCGGAGAAGAGATGGTGTTGTTATTGTCTGGCAGTGAAAGCAATCCTCCTACTACTGCCCTTTGGTTCGCTGCTGCTGCCTTTTCTCTCCTCTACTGTGCAGGGCTCAGTTTGTGTAAATAACATTTCCCACCTCTGTTTGGTGGTTTGGGGGTTGTTTTGCTGTTATTTTTCATTAACACCTATGGATCTGTACTCATCATATATACACATAAGGAAAGGTTCCTACCTGGCAAATCTTATAATCTAACTGCAGGAATCATGTCTTAAAGGGCTGTTTTCTGAGAGCATGTTGTGATTCAGATTACGATGTTTGAGTTTAATGGGAGGAGCCATTCATTTTATGTATATTCATAGATTGTCTTAACACAATAGTTGTGGGTGAGCTTTGAAGAGTCTCAGTGAAAATAATTAGCAATGAGCATGGATAGACACCTGAAACTGTAGAAGGGTTAGGAAATTCCTGTGGCTGTTCTATTTTTATTTCAAATATGACCTCTAAATGGCCAGAGTACCTTCCTGAACTGTCCATCAGTCTGGAGAGGCCAAACATGTCAATTAATTAGAAACTTCCAAGGAGTAAAATGCCAAATATTTTTGAAAGTACCAAGTATTTCTCAGCTCTTGTTAGCTGTCCCCTGCTTTTATGCTTGCACTGTGTATTACAGAAAACTGCTGTACATCACAATTCTGTTTTTTTCATTTTGTTTATATTTTGTTCAGTTGACTTTTGCCTCCTAAGGAAGCAAAAAATCACTAGGATTATATTAACTGTATTTTATAGATCTCTGAACAGGATTCTGCTATTGCATTTTTGGCTGAAAGGCCTTACATCTAACAGGTTTCTTTAAAATAAACTGTATCATGTTGTATCATATTAGAAGCAAAAATAGTACATCATTACAGACACACAAACAAAACTTTAAGGGAAGGAAATATTTCTGTTAGGCAATGTTTGTAGCTTAAAAGGGGCGAAAACCAAATAATTTTTTGAACACACTAGTTCTTTTTAACTTAGAGTCACTAATGATAGTGGTTTTTCCTGAAGAGTGATAATACTATTCAAAGACAGAGAAAAGAGAAAGAAGACAAAAAAAGAGGCATCTTCTGTTTGGCTGTATTCATAGTATTTACATCTTCAGTTCCATGGTTCTTACCACCAAAACTCATTCAGTGTAATGTTAAATCATGGAGTCATAAAAGCTGTTGGTGCACTTAAGGAGTGACAAGTTTGTAAGTGGAACACAAGTGGACTAAAACAATGTAGCACTGGGCACCCATTTCTGTTTCATCAAGCTGCACTGACCTGCATAGTATAGCTCACTGCAGGTCTGTCTGTATCTGAGTGTGAAGGATGTGTAAACTGGTCATTAGCAGCTGAGCCTGCAGCGCCATTGTAAATATCAGGGAACAAATTTACACCAGCTACAGTGTTCAGGTGTGTTTTTTTTCTTTCAGCCCTACCATAACCATGGAATACTCTCAAGTATATGTGCGTCTGTGTTCACTTTTCACTATGTGCAATACAACACCCTGAGGGAGCAGTAGAGTTTATAAATCTAACTTGAAGGCCAAAGAGATGAGGCTGAATTAATGTAAAATTCCCATTTCTTGTTTTCAGGAAAAAACAAACCATAATGATTAATGGCATTACTAAATATGCAAGTATCTAAAGTTAATCTAAGTAATTTCATAATCCTCAAAGCTTTAGTAGTATTCTGTGGGGTTTTCCCCCTACTAACATAAAGAAAAAAGTACTTAAGTTAATCTACTCCTTTGGAAAAATAAGGTGGAATTAAGTGGAAAGATGCTGGCAAATAAAAGCTAAGTGAACTAGCTTTGCTGTGAAATTTCAGTAATCTTCCTTCTGGCCTTGGCTGCCAGACTGATGCTGAAGAAAAGCTTAAACATCCTCCCTCCCCTGTGCATATTATTACATGCCTGTGAACTTTTTTCTTCTGCTCTGTTATTCTCTTTCTTTGTGAGCTCCCACAAAAAGAAAGGGAATAGATTATAATAATATTGTAGCACCAATGCTATTGTGTTTGCAGTAGCCTTAGTCCAAGATAATGATTTGATTAGCATGGCTTTTTCACTTACTGGAGAATTAAAGATACATGGATTTTCCTGGGATTCTGTGCTTTCAGGATGATTTCTTTTTTTTTTTTTTTTTTTGCCTTCTTTCTTCAGTTGTATCTCTTTGCAGAGAAGTTGGAGGTTTAAAGTAGGTACAGAGCCTTCACTGATAGCTAAGGGCAAAACATTAGTGCAGTGAGTCATCTCAGTAATTCCTGCAGATATTTGTGATCTGTGTCCTATGCAATGCATTTGTTCAAAAGGGCCATTGTTCCTTAAATCACTGATGATAGTTCTTCCAAATGTTTTCCCTGCAATGTAGTTGCTATGAATGAGGTTTGACATTTCCAATTTTGTTATTTGAATGGCCTCAAGGAGGCTTTGAAAAATTCCAACATGCAGAATATGAAACTCTTAACAAGAATATTAAACCAATAGTTTGCAACCAGTGGTGCAGCGAAGAAGCAGCCTGATTTAGTGGGTTCTAGCAAATGGAAGAATTTTACTGGTGTTCAATTACATTAAAAGAAAAAAAAAGTTTAATTACTTTAATTAAATTGTTAATAGAGCTATATTTTCTAAAATGCTAAAACTTTTCCTCTCTTTCTTTGATAGCTTCTTTTGCGTTTTGCTTGATATAACACCTACAAGTTGTGTATGTTGGAAGTGGTCATGACAGATAAGCAGAGCTATTCCCTTTGTGGGGGTGAGGGGGGTGTAAAATCTTGATCTTATTGATACTAGTGAGAATTTTGCTCTCAGCCTCAGGCCTTGAATCAAAAAAGCACCCTTTACTACAGCTGGGTTTAAGTTTTTTAATAGAAGCAATTCTTGTAACTACTCAGGGACATCTGTATCACACTTAGAATCTTACAGGCTGTTTAAAGGTGAGCAAAAAAGATCCTTTTCTGAGTTAATTCAGACACTGCAAAAATGAAATAAAATCTTTTAGCTACAGAGCTTTGTTTATTCACTCTTTTTCCATTTACAGCAAAATTTGGTGTGGTTCATATATTTGATCTTTGTGTTATAAAATATTTACTCTACTTAGCAGAAGGAAAAGATTAAATTAATTTTAGCTTATAAAATAGAAGCATTTTCATTTGTTGCTAGAATTTGTTTGTGTTCCATTAAACTTTTAGTGCTTCTAATTTTGTATTTCAAAATGTATATATTTTAATGTGAAAATAATTATTTTTGCAACTAAGCAGTGTCTAGAGAGAAGGAGTAATACCCACCCTCATTTCATCCCATGTGAATATTAATCTATATTCATTTTTTTAGTTGATGGACTTGCAATAGACCTTTTTGTTTTACATGTGAGTGACTTTCAGCTTATTTCTTTGCTTCAAAAATTGCAACTGAGACTTCAGCTTTTAGATCTTGAATTTTAGTTTTGCATATGATATTCATGCTGATGGTTTATCACAGACAATAGTAAATACAGCTTTGACTCAAGGAAAGCTAATTTTTTTTCTTTTTTTTTTTTTTTTCTTTGTTTTGGTCTCTGTAGAAATACTGCAGCACAGTCCAGCTTGATTCTGGAATAGACTACAGGAAACGAGTGCTTCCAGCTGCTGGAAAACTTTACTACCTGTAAGTTTATCTATGATATTGTATTTGCTCTCTTTTTCCTTCTTATTAGCCAATAATTTTCTATTCAATGGGAAATGAAAAATATATAGTAGAATTAGCAGGGTGTGACTTTTCATTTCTTTGCCTTCTGGTCCATTTTGTTCAGCAAACCGCCTTCCATTATGCTTTGATATTAACTTCATTAAACTACATTTTCGGTATCCACACTAGCATCATTTATAATGTGTGACTGAATAAAAACTAATTAGATTTTTTGGGGAGGTGTGGTGTTTGGAGAACTGAAGTGACAGATGGTTAGAAAGTAATGAATATCCTCTTGTAAGAGATTGCACAATTCTCTTATAATAGAAGAACATCCTTATTGTATTTAAGTAATTAAGTATTTATAGAAATCCAATGACAAGGATTCATTTAATTTTGGGTGTTTCCAATGCTGTGGATTAAAAAACCCAGCACCCTTCTGTTTTGACAGATTGTTTCTGTTTATCATGACAAAATTCCTTTAGCACTTTATATTTGCAAATAAATATATTTTAAAATATATTCACAGTTGTGTTTGTGGTTGCAGCAGAGAACTGCCGAATAGGAACATCCTCTTTAATACTTTGAAACCTTTGCAATGCAAACATTTTTCTGTCTTGTATTTTCTCTTGTAATATTATTTAATCAGTGACAACATGAACAAAGCAGACTACAATAGCTTTATATTAGATTTATAATGATTATACCTTTAAAATACTGATTTAAAAAACATGTTTCCATTAAGAAAGGTGGGGTATTTTCATAGGTGTGATGGGTGTTTGAAACCAAGTATGTTCGTGCTACTTTTTAAGGAAGTTAGATGTTGTAGTTGTTTGTGTGGAAGGAGGAATACTGCTTGGTAGAACTACAACTGGTAATTCTTCCTGCTTTTGAGAGGAAGTGACAGAATTTCATATATGGAAAACAGGTCCAATGCATGTTCTGTATTCTTCAACTATGGCTTTATGAACTTGAGAAAAGTAGCTCTTGTTCTGTATTCTTGCCTGGCTTCACTTGCTCTGTGCTTTGTCATGTCTGCTTAGAAGTACTTTTTGAAGCCACCACTGACACCTGAGTGTTGCTCATCATGGTCCTCATTCTGAGTGCTGCTGTTCCTGCCTGTGGTGCTGCTTCCTGTGCCTGCTGCACTCTGTGTTTTCTGTTGGACACTTGTGGAGAGCACCTGCCACATTCTTTTCTCACTCTTCATACTCTGAAGAAAGGAAAAGGATGTTTGTGGTTTCTAGCAGGTAATAGGCCAAACATGGTGCCTGTGGCATCAGCTCTCAGAGGATATGCAATACAAACAAGTTCCAGGAGTAGTGCCCAGCCAAAATATTTCACTGTGTTCTTCTTTAAAACTTGTGATTGAGTGAATGGCAGAGATTGGCAAAAATTCTCATATGTTCTCTTACTGGAAAGATATTGGCTGCCTTCAGAACTTGATGTGTGAATCATCAGAAAGCAGTGAGGGGAAAAAATATTAAAAAACCTCCATAGCTGCCAATGGAATTAGGTACTTATTTCTTTGTCCTTTCTTCTGAGGGAATCTCATTCATTCTTCTATGCAAACTGGTTCATTGGAGCTTTCAACCCTGTAGAACTAGCTTAGTATGTGGGGATTCCTTTTGTTCATTTTGTTTTAAAATTAGGTACTGTAAAGCATTTTGCTACAGATTTCTGAAATTTAATCAGCAGTTCTTGTCCCCAAAGAAAGTGTTCTTGTTCACCATGTATATGTTCTTCTATTAATGGCAATAGTATCATTGCCATCATTTTTTAAAGAATCCTCTTGATGCTTCATATGTTGTGTAGTCCTGTCTTGATTTAAAATATGTAACTGAGGGTTACATAAAGCTGTTTTATACTCACCTGAGAGCAATCAATGTAACACGATTGCTTGATCAAAGCAACTTCATTAATCTCAGTCTCAGGTGTCTATTTCCAAAACAAACTTTCTTGGCAATTAGGTAAAATACCCACGTTAGCATCATATTCACCTGTTTCTTCTGGTACCCTTTCAATTGAAATTTCTGTTACTGCTATGCATGCACAGGCACATACTGTCTGAGATAGAAACAGAGATGTAGATAGATATGTATTTGTACTCACATGCACACACTCTTTACCCCCTTTTATGAGTTTTTTTTCTGGCGTTGTCTGTTCTTTTTAATTTATTATTTTGTCAGAGGAATGCATCACACCAATATCAATGTTTAGAGAAATTTCTAGAACTTTATGTAACCTCCTAGTCAGAAAAGATGTTTAAAATCTTCAAAATGGCACTTTCGTAAGTTAGTGGATTTTCAGATTTTTTCCCAAATTCTTTGTATCTACAAGGTTGTCATCGTTAAGCTCTAGCTAAAAAGTAGTTACTTCAGTTCTGCTATTAACATTTTTAAGGTGCTTAAGCCCTAATGAGCAGGAGAGTATTTGTTTAACAAGCTGATATTCATTTGTCAGTTAAGAGGATATCTAGAACTGTGTGAAGCAGTGTGACTTCAGTGCATCAAGATCTATTAAATAAGACTTCACACCAAAAGAGTTTACACAAACTTCAGTGAAACATTATATATCCTAGTTCTAGTTGTCTTCCATAACATTAATTTACTGTTCTCCATTAGAAATCTTATCTATCTATCTATCTGTCTATCTATCTGTCTATCTGTCTATCTATCTATCTATTCATCTTTAAGAATACAACATGGAAAGGTTGGATCTCTAACCTATTCAGTGATTAAAAAAAAATTCTCTTATTGGACTGATCTTTTAATTCTTGTGGCCCAGAAGATGAATGAAAACTTTACTTCAGCTATCAGCACAGATATTTTGCATTTCACCATCTGTGGTTGATCTTTTCCCAAGCAGTATTAGTATTAGAGGTTGGGAAACTGCTAATACTATTAATGCAGAGATCATAGTGGTATTTTTAATTTCACAGTTTAATTTTGCAAATTGTTTGGTCAATACAATCATTTGACTTGACACAGCACCCCCCTCCCCCTCCCAAAAAAAAAAATTTGCTTCAACATTTAATTTTACAAAGTCCCTTCTCAAAAATTTCAAAGGATATTTCTTTAGGTGCTTGACTGCCTTGCCTTGCCTTGTCTATTTGCTCTTATTTTGCATGCAAGATAGAGCCAGAAGCCTTTTTTCTCATTGTGTACACATAGTGTTAATGGATCTGCTCTGCCTGTATTGCCTCATTACTGGAAACAGCTCAAAACACAGAAGTCTTTCAGTATATGCAAATAAGGCAGAATCATCTACCTGAGAGTTAATATTCTCTACTTTTAAGTGTATTCTAAATGTAATGTTTGTATTTAGAGCATAACATCCTGTTCTCTTTTTTTTACGGGCAAAAAGCTAAGCAGGCTCAGGCAGCTGTTTGATGTTGGCTTCAAGTGTTATTAATTTCATATTCTATTATTCTTTTCACTGTAGCACAAGTGAAGCTGATGTGGAGGCTGTCATGGATAAGTTGTTTGATGAGCTGGCTCAGAAACAAAATGATTGTACGTAAGTTAATTTCTCTTGAAAGAGAATACATTTAGAACACAATGCCCAATCTCCACTGACCAATTAATAAGTTCCATTGCTGTATATGGGTTGATGCCACACTCAAGTGGCAGTCATTGTATCAGCATTTTGTCTAATTTATGTGTTGAATCATGTGCTATTATTCATGAAGCTATGCATTTCCTATCTGTAAGAGATGAATTTTATAGTAATTATCCAGAGAAGATTGAGTCTTTGTTCATGTTCCCATAGTAACTAGACCAAGGATTCTAAAAGTGCAAGGCAGAGAGCTGAGGCTGAATAAGGCATGTGGAACCATTGCAGACTTCACGTTTGAAGAGCTGTGCGACAGAGTGAGTACCCAGTCCAATCTAGATCAGTTAATGCTCAGACTTTTCATAGTTTAAAAAAAAAATCAAACCACACAAACTTGCTATTTTCCCAAGCTGCACTAAATTGAAAAAGCTTTTTTAAAAAACTTGATTAACAGAAATGTTTTTAATTTAACAGGAAATAAACCCCTTTCCCCAAAAGAACCATACTAATTTTCTTTTTAATGATATAGTAAATTCACTTTTAGGTGTATCACAGATTATATTCAAAAATCATACCAGAATATATGCCTGGCCTAACATCACTGCTGGTATATGAGTGGTGGTACATCTTAATGTGTAAATAGCAGCCAAATGCTGTTTTTATAACCTGGGGTTTTAGTTTGACACTCAAGCAAAGGAGTAGTGATTCTAGCACCACTAGAGTAACACTGCTGTTCCACACTTTGGTTTCAACTGCATGTACAAGGAATGTTTAATCCCAGTTCTTCTCAAAATATGCCAGGTTTTGCTAAACACTGCCACATTTTCTGCTTAAACATGTGAGATATTTTGAAAAGTTCTCCTTGTATTTGTATTATCCAGTGTGTTGGAAGACAATTCCCCAGGAGTTGCACTGTACTTCAGTAATCTCTGTACTGATGTCTGAAGTTGCTGTTAAATGATCACAACCCTAAACAAGGCCAATAGTACTTTTGATTCAGGATGGTGAACAGTCTTTTGGCAATAACATTATGCTTTCACTTCCTTGGAGCTACAGAATTGATAACTATTTGGACAGAAATTTCACTGGTTGTGTTTCACACTGTAGGTTTTAGATTGTTGGTTTTCAGTTTTAGACAAAACCAATAAGCCGTTTTTAAGAGTGGAGGTGTGTCATGGGTAGAATATCTTGCTTTTTTTTCATTAAAGGTTTTGAGACTTTTTCTGCCTTGTGCCTCTTAAAGTATGGGGAAGCTATGCTGTCAGCAAACAACTAGTACAATTCTTTAGTCAAGTAAATGCCTTATGCACAGTACTTAAATGGGATAGTAAGTTGCTTCTAAGTAGAAGTGCTCTGATTAGCTCACATGTCAGTGGTTCTCATCCTGTTCAGGAATTATTTGGCGTTCCGATCATCTTGGCATAACAGAGCTTGAGGGTCTTGGTTTGCACTCAGAGCAAGTAAAGAGAACCCTTGTGAAACGTTAATCATTGTTTAACAATATTGTTCTTACATGGATCACCCAGGACTTAGGAAATCTTGGTGTCTCAATTCAGATGCCTTCTGCAGATGTGTTATGTTAGTCTCTTATAGCAAAATCACATGCATAAAACTAAAACAACATGGCAGACAGTAAATGGTTTTGTTTTGACAACTTCCTCAGTCATCGCTGATTTTTCTTTTCAGATCACTGATGTATCTTCATAAATATTACATTAGTATGTTGATAAGGGGTATCAGTATGTTCCCTTCATAGGCATAAAAGTATAGTCATGAACTCCAGAGCTGTCTAATAAATTTAGATGAATGGCCAAAGTTGCCTCCAGTGTGAGTTTTTTCTTTTTTTCATTACTGTAAACTTTTGCTGTGATTCATAGCAATGGTAGAAAATTTCCCTCAGTATAAGCTGCATTTAGGACCTTGCCTGTCCCATTGTTCTGTCTAACCTGCTGCCATTAAAATCTGCTAAAAGGAAAAATTCAAAAAAGGAAAAGCCACAAAACCCTCTTCCTTTTTTTCATGAATTCTTTTAAATTCCTTTAAATTTTGATGGAAAAACTTAAACATGCAGTGTCTTTTTAAACAGAGTGGGAAATTGCTCCTGCTCATGTCACAGAAGATGTAGGGAGGATCCAGAAGAGTGCACTGGTGGTTTATAGCAAAAAATAACCTAAAATGAGGAGATGTTCAACATGACTGGAAGTATAAAGTAATTTATATATATTCCAGTAAGACTGCTAATAGTGGGAGTGATTTGTGGAGGGATAAAGCAGAAATCTGTAGGGGACATAGCAACAAGCTATTTGCTACTTCTTGTGAAGCCAAATGGTAGGTAAGTTGACAGGTATCTTAAGTGCTACTATTGAAAACAGAAAAGTAGCTGGAAAAGGTGTAATGAAAAGCATGATTGACAAAAGAAAATACCGGAGGGGAATTTTTTGGATTTGCATGGAGCAACTCTGCAGATTTTTTTGTGCAGGACATGGGGACAAAATCCCATGGGAAGGAGAAGACAGATTGTCCAAAGGGGCGTGGGTCAGGAAGCCTTCCTCCTGGAGCCTCTTGGGGTGAAGCTTAATTGATAGCTCAAACAGAGGCACCAGGTAGATACATGAAATCTAAAGTTGGTGTAGGAGCTCATTAAACTTGTAACAGAATTAAAAACAAGATTTGCAGTCGGTTTTGTAACAATTTTAAGATGTGGTGACAAGCATGATAAATGGCAAATTCTCATTAATGGGGGAAAATGAGAGATAATTGCTATTATTGAAACCTTCTGGGACAATTCATAAAATAATAATACAGAATGGTTGCTTACAGCCTCCTTAAAGACAGAGTGGCTAAAAGAGGTGGAAAACAGTGTGCAACACTGAAGGTACTGGTACCTGCATTAAAGTTAATTAATACAAGGTTCTTGAGTACATATCAGTCTACTAATTAACAAACCCAGAAGGAAAGTACTCATAGGGATCTGTTGCAAATGGAGCATGAGGCGGATTGCTCCTTGAGCACTTGGCTATAAAAAGCATATAAAGAAAAAACACTGTTATATGTTATGCTGTAGATGAAACTCAGGAAAAGATGAAATGTAATTAGCCAGAAAATTGCAAATGATAATTTTCTAGCATAAAATGTACTATGTCCAGTACAAGGTCATTTGATTGGCGCTTACAGTGATGAATTAATCTAGAAATTTCTGTTGTGTAGGAACAGTATTCATTTTCTAACATTTAATGGAGCCAAAAGATATTCCAAACAGTGAAGTTGCATATTTGAGTGTTCAGGAAGAGCAATTTTCAAAAGCAAAAGGGAAGTGTGACTAACTGGAAAGGGAAGTGTAAACAACTACAATAACAAAAAGAGCAACACAAAGCCAAGAAGGACTCTCTGTGGAGGAAGGTAATAAAAGTATTTCTTGTGTTACTGTTGAGATAGAATCAAATAATATGGAATGAATGGCAACTAGTTATGAAGTACAGGAAAATTCTAAAATAGGGGTCATGAGCAAATACGTCCATTCAGATAAAAGACTTACTTAAAATTTGAGTTTTGATGTTTTATATTATCTGAATGTTACTGGCTTACTTTTCGCTGGAGATGGATGAACTTTTAATAACGATGTGGAAAAAGGAAAAGGTTTGGAATAAATAAGTGTTCTAGGTAAAGCAGAGTGAAATATTAATTTTACTAAAGGACAGTGAAATAATTTTCAGTCTGCAAATAGTTAACGTATGTTAAAAATAGCTTGCAAATACATTTTGTATCATTGGAGTTCTGAAAACTAGGCTGAGATCTCTGACTAGCTTTTTATTTTTGATAAATTAAAAAGTGCAAGAGAAGTTCCACATCACTAGAAGAATGCTGTCTGTGTTGGTATTGAAAAACAAACTTACTTGTTTCACACATGCTTACGATGATGGATGGAACTGCAAGCTATTGGTGAGATTTTACCCAAGAAGGGTAATGGAGAGGCTGATTCTGGATGCGTACAGTGGATGACTAAAGAATGGAAATGAAATTAATTCTCCAATCTCCATGACTTTATAGGAATGGTTGAAGATGCTGTTTGTATTGGAAAGTGGCGTAACACAATCTCAAGAAAGTATTTGTTAAATGGATTGCTAAGTTAGTTAACTAACCTACAAAAAGAAATTGCTTAAGGCTTGTTGTTTGTACCATTTCTAGCGAGCACATTTTTATACTAAGCCCAGTATATATAAAGTTTTTTCCCCAGAAGTTTTGAATATAACATAAATGCTAATACAAACTTGCTGTAAATACAGAATACTGGTTGTATGGGGTGCAGAGCAATGAAGACAAGAATGTTGTGTGCAGTTTATTTCTTATCAGAACTGGTATTTTGGGGAAAGGGCTGGGGTTCTTGGTTTTGGTTTGGTGGGGTTTTTTTTGTGTGTGTGTGTGTATTTTTGGTGTGGGTTTTTTTTTTTTTTTGAGAGTTTGTTTAGTTTTGATTTTATTTTACATCTAAACAGACACAGCCTCCTTTTACTTTGTATTGGGTCAAAACTGGATGCCATTTTAGGAGAGGTATTTGAGCTAGGTACTAGTTTTTAGGCTTAGCCATCTCTAAAATGCAGGAACTTAACATACCCCATGATCTTTCCTGGTTTTAAAGTACCTGAAAGTAGGGATGTGAGGGGGTCAGGGTCACCACTGCCTTTTGGCAGCTCTCACTGCCCCTGTAGTGGACAAGTTCAGCAGCCAGATGGGAATATGCCCGTCTTGAGGGAGTAACCAGCTCTTCCCCCGATCATACTTCTGGGTGTAGGCAATACTTAGTGTACGATCAATCTCTGCAGTCAGTTCAAACTGAGTTCTTCCAAGCCTTGTAACTCCTAGGATTCGAAGGGATTTTCACAGGAAGTGTATAGGATATTTCCCTCATACCAAGCAATCTTTCTTCCAAATTTGACATACTTGGTCCGCATTAATGGAAGTGCTTACAACTTAAAATATTATCTTGGAGTTTTCTGAAACTGTTGTATACCGCTGCTCATGTGGGTGTCGGTAATCATCGCAGCATGAGTGGACAACATTGTACTCAAAACTTGGTTAATTGATTCCTTTGGCTATCCATTACCTTTAAGGGTTCCAGAAAAAAGAATAAGTTTTGCAGGAATCAACATGTGAAAGAATAGATGCTTCTGTTGTGTTGGCAAAATAGCTTATCACTCAAGTGACTCTGTTTTCACTTCATTGCTGCAATCTGTCTCCTAGTCTGGTCTTGGGTAACTGTTACAGTGATATTCCAAGGGATAAATATCCAGACCTAAAAATGTACATTTGCTGGTGTAGG